CCCACGCTCCGCTCGCCCCGTGGCGGCATGAGAGCGAGCCTGTGATTGGACAGGGCCCGGCGGTGAAAGGTTAATCCCGGCCCCCCAGCCACTCAGGAGCAGGGAGACAGCGGGTGTGCGCGCCGAGGCCGAGGCGGTGTTTGCGGCCCAGTGCCGAGACTGGACCCTAGTGGCCGGGAGTCTTTGGGGCCCTCGGGAACCCGCGGGCCGAGGCCGGCTAAGTTTGGCTGACTATCTCAGCTCTCGGAATTCGACTGCCTCCATTGTTGCCCCTTCTGGCACCCACAGACCGTAACGTGGCCGTAATTGTTCCCCAGAGAGCCTAGCTTCTCTCTGAGCACCTCCCTCCCCTCTTTAAAGTACCTTCCCACTCGCCTGCGTTTCCCCGCGTTAGTGGTGCAGGGGCCTTCGCATTTGGGGAAATAACAAACACCCACTTCCGCCCCCCACCCTAACTGGGATCCCCAGATAATGAGAAATAGACGGTGGCCCTCTGTATGTACACTGATCATTTGCATAGGTCGGAACCACCCACCACATCTCGTAGCTAGGAATTAAAATATCGGTGGGAGTTACATAAGTGACTGGCTTAAAGAACATTGTCTTAATTTATCCCCAAATGTAGACATCTGTTCAGTGGACTCCCTGATAGGCCGGTTTGCTCCAGGTGAGGTGTGCTCACAGCAACTGCAACCGTGTTTCTTTCAGCCCATGGGCGTGAGCAGAACCTACTCTGCGCCGGTGCTGCCTGGGCTGTGCTGTTCAGTTTGGGGCCACCAGCCCCGCATGGCTCCTGAGCACTTAAAGTATGGCTAGTCTGAATCGAGGTGTATGCGTTCTTTACCAAATAATGTTCAAAAAATTGTTACATGTTGAAGTGATAAACGTTTTTTGATATATTGAGATCAATATATCAAAATATATAAAAATACCAGTTTTATTTATTTTTTAGTGTGGGTCCTACAGAATTTTAAATGTCATCTGTGGCCTGCATTATATTGCCATTGGGCAGGCTGATCTAGGGCTTGCATGCCTGTGATCCTCACGTGCACCCTGTAAGGTAGGTGCTTTAACTGTGTGCACATTGTGAGACAGGTGCTGAAACTGCTTCCTTTTTTTTTTTTTTTTTTTCTTTTGAGACGGAGTCTCGCTCTGTCGCCAGGCTGGAGTGCAGTGGCAGGACCTGGGCTCACTGCTATGGGCTCACTGCAATCTCCGCCTCCCAGGTTCAAGTGATTCTCCTGCGTAAGGCTCCTGAGTAGCTGGTATTACAGGGGCCTGTCACCACACCCAGCTAATTTTTGTTATTTTTAGTAGAGACGGGGTTTCACCATGTTGGCCAGGATGGTCTGGATCTCTTGACCTCGTGATCGGTCTGCCTTGGCCTCCCATAGTACTGGGATTAGGGGCGTGAGCCACCGTACCCGGCCTGCTTCCTATTTTAACAGATGAAGTAGTGGAATGACTTCCAGCAAGTAAGTAGCCAGTAAGTGAACAACTGAGATTTGAACCCAGGTAGTCTGGCTTTGAGGCTGGTGTGCTCAATCGTTACTGTGCTAAAATTTTGATAATATATTTACTATGAATTGGCTTAAAGTTTCACCTGAAGATAGCATATTCATGGGCAAAATTAGGAAGTAGGATACTCCTGGCAGACCTATGTATTAAAAAAATAGTTTCTTAAATGTCAAGCACTGTGAGCATGTCATACCTTTAAGTCCCCAGTCATACATATAAGGCTTTCTGGAAATAATTCTTTATGAGAAGGATAGCATCTCAGTGTGGGGGTAGGCACTGGCCTCTACTGGCAGTGGAAATTTGTGGGCTGGTACAACTTCAGCCCCTCTGGTTGTCCTCTTGCAATCTGTCAAGACTAGCCAGGCTGCTTGCTGCATCAGCAGGTTTACCTGACTTTTGACTTTTTATTTATTTATTTATTTATTTATTTATTTATTTTTTTGAGGCAGAGTTTCGCTCTTGTCGCCCAGGCTGGAGGGCAATGGCGCAATCTCGGCTCACTGCCACCTCTGCCTCCTGGGTTTAAGCGATTCTTCTGCCTCCGCCTCCCGAGTAGCTGGGTTACAGGCGTATCACCCCACACCCAGATAATTTTTGTACTTTCAGTAGAGATGGGGTTTCACCATGTTGGCTAGGCTGGTCCCAAACTCCTGACCTGCCTCGGCCTCCCAGAGTGCTGGGATTACAGGCATGAGCCACTGTGCCCTGCCGGTTTATCTGATTTTTATCAATTTCAGTTTTTATTTTTAAAATAAGTAGTACATCCATATTGTTCATTTATCAGAAAGCCTATAAAAGATACACAGTGGAAAAAGACCTCCCTCACACCTGTCCTAGTGTCACAAATAGGTGACCACTGTTTCCTTCTCATTCTTCAAAATGTTTATGTGTATACAAGCCAAGACATACTCTCTGTGTTCCTTGTTTAGAAAAATGCCAGCATGCCGTACATATTTACTCCACCTTGTGTTTTTCACTTAATGTATCCAGAGGACATGTTTATAGTAATACATACAGAGCTCCTTACTGTTTTTTTTCAACCTCCTTAATATATTATTGCAGGTATATCCATACCATAATTTACCAATTCTTTTTGATGGACATTTAGACTTTAAGTCTTTTGGAATTAAATGTTGATCCATTTGGAATCGATTTAATATATAGGGTGAGGTATGGATCCAAATTAATTTTTTTGTCCAGGTGGCTGCACAGTCATTTATTGAGCAGTTCACTTCTGGACTCTGTGTCCGTTCTAATGGTCTATTCATGCTTCAGTTGCTGGTTTGTTTTAAATCCAGAGACATAAAATCTTGTAAGGGATATTGTTTCACACTTTGTTTGGATCACTAGAAATCTTAGAGCCAATATTTCAGCCCATGTTAAGCAACAGTATAGTACCATGTGGTATGCATTTTCTATGGGCTAATTTTTATTTTCCCTTAGCCCTGATTATTTCCACAATTTGGTTTATTTTTTGTAGAACAAGCCAGGATTTAAATATACCTTTAAGACTCTCTGTTTGCAAGTAACAGAAACCAACCTGAACTAGTGCAACCAAAAAGAGAGAATTTATCATAATGATGTAGGTGCTTCCCACAAAAGCCGAGAATAGGAATACAGCCACATCTTAGCAAAAACTAGAACCAGTCATTGGAAAGCTTCCAGGAACCCAAAAGGTGCCCTCCTCTGTGCCCCTCGTCTGTGATTGTTTTCTATGTATCTCTACTAACTTGTTCTGTCTGCTTTTCCATCTACATGGGAGAATATAGCCACTCCCATATTGGACTGGGCTGTCAGCTCAGTGGGGAGTCCAAGCCCAAACAAGGAAGGTGGGGCAGCAACCCTGCAAGGCCAGACAGCTGATTACATACAGGAGAACTACACAAAGAAAAACTATATTGAGGGTAATGGCAGCCAGATTTCTCCCTGTTGGAGAAGGGAGTTACAAGTACAGAGATAAGAAAAGCAAGAAGTTTGTGTGATTGGATTGGAATTGGAGATATTCGTGTAAAATCATGGTTCTTAATACATGTAGATATAAAAATAAATATAAATGTAAAAGTGTGTATGTATACATTTTGTGTGTGAGAGATTTTGAAATGTATATTTGGTCTTTGACCTCATTTTCTGGTGTACAACTCCTAAATTCCTTACAAACACCAAAGTGATGTCTTTTGTGTGCTGGTGAGTTGGCTGGTGGCTGGGAGCCCCTAGGTAGTTTTAGGATGGGGTTGGTCATCAGAAAGACCAAGGCAGGCTCAGAGGGTTGGACCTTCAGCCTATCCCCAACTTCTTGGAGAGGAGAAGGGTTGAAGGTCAAGTTATCAGCAGTGGCCAACAGTTTAATCAGTCATGCCTTATCTAATGAAGCCTGTATAAAAACCCATAAGGACAGGGTTGGAGAGCTTCTAGATAGCTGAACACCAGGAGGTTCCTGGGAGGGTGGTGCACCCAGGGAAGGCATGAAAGGTTTGAGCGCCTTCTCCCATACCTCATCCTATTTATCTTTTCTTCTATATTGTCTGTAATACCCTTTGTAAACATAAGTGTCTCGCTGAGTTCAGTGAGTTGCTCTAGCAAATTAATCTAACCCAAGAGGGGGTCATGGGAACAACAACTTGAAGCCTGTCAGAAGTTCTGGAGGCCCAGACTTGGGACTGGTCAGTGGCCAGAGACAGAGTGGGGCAGTTGTTGGGGGTGTCTTGGGGAGTGAGCCTCAACCTGTAGGATCTGATGCTATCTCCAGGTTAGAAGGGAATTGGAGGACACCCAGTTGGTGTCTGCTACAGAATCGATTGCTTGCTTGGTGTGTGGGGAAACACCCCCCGACATTTGGTCACTGAAGTCTTCTTTGTTAATTGTTGAGGGTGAGGGAATAGGGTGTGTAATTTTTCCACAGTCAGATATATACACACACACACATACACACACACACGTCTATCAATGTATGTACATATATTTCCTAGGCCTAACCAGTGGGAAGGCCTTGGTGCAGCAACACCACATTAGCCAAAAGAACACCTAACACCTAGCTCTAAACACCATTCTCCATGAAAAGGAAACAGGGCTCTTTAGAGAAATGACTGATTTTAGGATTGGGCCAGACAAAGTACAGTATGAGACTGGAACATCTTGTGCTAGAAAGTGTGAAAATGCTCAAGAAATGGTGGAGACAGTTCAAAAGGACAAAGCAATCAGCTTGAAGAGGCTCCTGTTGGCCAAATCTAGGACAATTCGAACATCAAAATCATAATAGCAGGAGATTATATCCCATGGGTTCAAATGGAATTCATGAGTCCACACTTCTTTAAAAAATAAATGGCAATAAAGAGCTCCTCTTTAGAATATAATTCAATAATACATTTTGAAAAAAGAATGGAATTGTAACCCAGTCATAGGTTCAGTAGCCCACTGCTTGCAGAGCACCATTAACAAGAGTGAGGTCTGCTATAAAGAAAGTGACTTTTTATTCCAAAGCTTAACATAGGGGGAAACATGCAGGTTCCTGCCTTGAGGGTACTGATTTGCTTTTGGGGCAGAAAGCAGGGGCTTTGAAGATGGGACTTGGCATGAATGGCATGCAGGGGAGGGGGCAAGCAGGTGAGGGTCTATATGACTCTCCTTGGAGCTTTATCTGCTGGGTGTTTGAGCTGGCACCATTGTAGGCAGAACTAGACTGTAAAGTGGCCATTGTCTGAGATGCTTTCCAAGTGGGACAGAGTTTCCTAGCGGGCATACTTTAGGTTGTAAATTGACTGTTGTCTCTCTAGGCAGTGTCCTGGTAGGAGAGATTTCTGGCTCAGAAGCTTCTAAGTAAGCACATGGTTAGATAAGCTTGCCCTGTAGGGAGTGTGTGGTGAAGGGAAGGTAAAGATTATAATTGCATTTCTAAGGAACTAAGTAGAAAGTGGAGAAAAGGGGAAAAAGAGACAAGAAAAAAATTTTTTTTAAACACAATTATCTTTCTCTTAGAAAAATGGGGGTACTTAGTTACAGAATTGGAAAATCACCATTTGGCAATCATCAGACAAGAAATATCAATGTTTGCTAAATCTAGTGGGGAAAAGTTGAATGAGGAATGAGATACTTACATAGGTTCAAAGCGTCTCCCCATGAAATTCTTATTTAAAAAACAAGAACTTTACAAAAAAGGAATCTAGTAGATATCATCTTATTCATATGACCAAAAAAAAAAAAATTAGCATTAATCAGGCTGCCCTTTGACCCATTTATCAGTTGCTGAAAGCCACACAGCACTCTAGTTACTGACCAGTTGCCTCCCCAGTTGTTCCTACCGATAGGATTTTCAACTTTAGGATCATGACTATTTAACAGTTGATTTTCATCCCAATTGTTCCTATAGACAGAATCTCTAACATTAAAATCATAAGGTGTTTATTTAAGGATCAGTTAAGATGTTTTTCAGACCCTGAATTCCACAAGCAGTTTGAAGTGCAGGATCAGCGTGAGAAGACAGCTTCCTCATCTCCTGCCCTATGACTTCAACCTGTACTGTTCAACCAGGGAACGATCTCTGCCCTGCGGCCCACTCCAAAACCCTAAAAAACCCTACCCCAAACTCCTTAGGGAGATGGATTTGAGGTTCCCTCCTGTCTCCTTGTTCTGTGACCCAATGATTAAACCTCTCTGCTGCAGCCTGGTGTCTCCACATGTTGACTTGCCGAATGCACTGGGCACTGGACCAATTATGGTTACAACCTTATCAAGTGCTGACAAGGGTATAGTACAGCTGGAACTCACATACGTTGCTAATGGGAATGCAGATGCTGTAACCACTGTGGAAAACAGTTTGGCGGTTTCTTATCAAGTTAAGATATACTTTCCATATAACCTAGTATATTGTCTCTCTGGAGAACCCTGATACTCATATATATACACACATATACGTAGATCTACATCTATGTATATACATATATGTATACACATGCATGTAGAT